GCTGGGCAAATTGTAGTCGTGGAGCGTTTTACCGTGTACCCGCAGAAGGTCTCCAATGGCCTTCAGAGTCGATGCCCTCGCACGGTCAACGTCTTGCCAACGCCGATTGAAGTCTTCCATCATACTGTCCTCGTTGCTCGTGTACAGCCTCAACGGTTCCGTAAGCCTGGCAGTGCACCAGTATCGTGACGAAGAGATACCGAAGCTGGCCAGGAGTGTCCAACGTCGCAGACTCTTGCATGCACGCATGCCACGCTTCGTCGTCTTCTATGAGTCCCAGTGCAATTGCCGCAGCCCCGTATGTCTCATGCACTATCCCGTCGACCGTTCTTATGTCTCGGAAAGACCGTGGGCCTCTCCGGTGCAGAAGTAACAGTCGCAGGTGGAAACGGTGCTGATCCATTGGGCTGACGATATACATCCGAGCCAACGTCTCGTTGGCCATTTGATTTCTACGTGGCGACCATGTCCTGCTAGGTTGGTGCCAACTGTAATGTAGCGGAATCTCGTGGTACAGGTACTGCCTTGCCACCTCGCTGTTTGTGTTGAGTCTGAAAAATTCTGTTAGTTTAGTACGACGTTGGTTATCATCGTCTAACCGTTCTTCAGCACGTCCGGGAGCAAAGTACAAGGTCTGATTGTCTTCCAGGTGGACCGGAAGTCTTACGATCGTGTGACTTTTGTTGTGTATCTCATACGAAAACAACCTCCAAATGGCTTCAGGCGGGCCGACATAAGGCGAGTTGGTGTAACTGAAATCAAAATTAATTCAGTGTAATATAATAAAAACAATAATGTTATAAATTGTGTGTTTATACAATGAGGTCATCACAAATATATATTAATAGTTTTTCATTGATTGGTACTATTTGTATAAAAAAATGAGGCAATGAAATTGAAAAAATTAATTTAAATTTAAACGATTGAAGTTGACTGAATATAATAACCGTATCAACAGAATGTATACATTTAAATAAAAGTAAAGATATGGTTATTACAAAATTGTATATTGGTGATTACAATAGAATCTGCTGAATGCTATTGAAATACATAGGTACTGTAAAGAGATTGTTATTTTTATTTCATCAATTATAAATTTAAATAAACAACTGTTAGGTAACCGTTGTTAGAAATTTAAAATTAAATCTGTAGAAGTTATTAATTATACCTTCCTATGCACATTTAAATAGTAAAAATGAATCAAGTTATGGCCTAAGTACCTACTTGCAAATCATAAAATATTAAACAGTTGATAAGTTAAGAACAATATTGTGAACAAATTTTTAATTGTACCTATACACATTAAAATGGATTGAGTGGAATCTTTTTATAAGTAAAAATGTTATATTTTGCCAAATTTAAACACACATGATATTATGTAGAATAAGTTAATTAATGTAGTTATGTAGGTATACAGTAGAAATGTATGAACACAACTGTTGTACATTAATCGTTTAATCTGTAATGAATTACATGTATATAACCTAACACCCCAACAAAATTATAGATTTAAGTCACTCTGTTGTGCTATCGGTGTACAATTTAAATAGTTGTATAATATATAATATAATATAATGTACGGTAATGAATAGTTAGTAAAAAGTTGTAAACTCCAAAAAATATGAACTTATGTGTATGTAAGTGAAGTAGTAAAATATTAGTGCATATCTTTATGTAGGTGTACGGGTAAGTGTAGTGCTAACTACTAACTGAACAATTGAAATCTTATCTAATCTCTGTACAGCATATAATCATTAAGCAAAGTTGAATGAAAAGGTTATAAAAATGTACCTACATGGTCAATGTATTTATTATTAATTTATACAATGTTAGACTAACAATGAAAGCTATTAGTATTAAGACCCTGTATATGAGAACAATACATTATTGAATCTGCTTACCTTAACACCTCATCTCCGTCCCGTAAGGCCAAAGTAGCTGCGTCATGTCCCTTGTAGACATATTTATAAATGTACTTAACGCTTTAATGGTGGAGCACACCTCAACATTGATGTGAGCGTCATATTTAGCCAGAAGATACGGGTTGTATGGAACGACAAACTCGTTACCGACCTCTCGTTGTCTGACAAGAGCCACACGACCATTGTTCGGACGGCGGTACATGGGGTAGCCGCCATCAGAGACGTAAACCGTCTCATCACCGTACTGTTTCAGAAACTTCTTTGAACAACTATTGTCTACCATACATGGACTGTTGGGGTTTAGTGGACCACACGGTCCGTGAATCATGTGCGACGTCACGCAGTCAAACAGACGCCGATCAGTCTCCGGGTCTGGCAAGGAGGCGCACACAATGTTGTCGACGTCCTGTGTGTCGAGCAACTTGCTGTCCTCCCCTAAGATGATGAGTATGTGCGCGTGCGGCAAACCGCGTTTCTGGAATTCAACAGTGTATACATAAGCATTAACATTACCAAAAATTCTACCGACTGTTATGTCGTGCATAAGAGCCTTAAGTTTAACGTGGAACACTCTGGCCACCAGTTCGGGCCTGTCGTTTGCCAGAGTGTATCTCCCTAGGTTTTCTGTGATCTCTGGCCACCGAGGATTACATGTAAAATTAATGAAGAGATCAGGCTTACCGAATTTCCGCACAATGGAAATAGCGTCGTGATAACAGCCTTTATTGTAACGGGGACTCCCGACGAACGTCGAAGGTAAAATGACCCTGCGGCCGACGGCCAAGGGATTAGCCGGCACGTCCAAGTGGAGCTGTTGGTTGACGTGGTCCACAAGGCCTCGATACGCTTCTGCAAGGAGCGCACCCTGATTCCGAATAATGTAATTCAGATTGTTCGATTCCATTCTAACATACAGATCGCACACGTACATCTGTAACAAAAATCCAGCTCTGTGTAATATACTAAACTGGTTGTTATGCAAGTCGTTGTTTCCTTGGTAACGAATGGCCAATCTATAGCAAGCATACTCGCGGATAGTATTCCGTGTGCGGACCGCGTTGACGCGGTTTCCGTGCTGCTCCATGTTGTCTTGCCAACCACATTCACCGTATGGGAACAACACTGGATAGAGCATTGGATCAGCGTGACGTGATCCTGCAGATAACGTCTGCATCCGGTGATGAGCGTCGGTTGGATTCCTGTTGTACATGACCAGATTGATGTCTCTCGGCGGTCGGCCATCGTCACCGACGAACACAGCCGCAATTTCATCTGCGGTGGGTGGACCGTAACGCCGTTGGTCTCTGGCTGTGTCGGAGACGAAATGCATACTGACTGTTCTCGGTGCCACTGCGGGATCATTCCTAGCCCGGGCTTCTTCATCCGCACATAACTGACTCATATTCCTACAAATATATTTTTTAATTACAGTAAAGCACATAACATATATAGGAATAATACAGTCATATAGTAGTCTAGGTCAGTCATTATGTTCAAGCGTTAGTTACATTTGTTTTGTATAATGTGCAGTACTGCATGTAATGATTATTGCACGTCATATATTAATATGTATGTAAAACACACGATAAAGAAAGGTGAAGAAAACATTAATGAGTAATAATATATTAATATGGTGATGCCTGGTCATTATAAAGTTTATATTAAGTCTTATTGGGGTTTATTTTGGTACTATGTATCTGAATAAAATAAACGATAGTGAAGTGTAATGTAATATAGTGTGTAAAAATTATTAATTATGCCCAAGCTCAGTGGAATAATGTTAAAAATATAGATTGAAATAATTGAAATTATACAATCATACTATTGTAGTGTTTATTGTTATTACAAAATTCTAAACTTGTGAATACTGTTTGAATGTTATGAAAATTAACAACATTAAGTAATTCATCAATTTGTTCTATAGCTAGTGACCCTTTTTGTAATAACCAATGAGTTTAAAAAAAGGTTGTAACAATCATTAATTTATTATCCGTACATATTTTGTGTATTTATGTAATGTAAGAATATATTATAAGCAGAACAATATTATTGTCATTGAATATTTATATTATAAATATGATCAACCCACACCCGAATGATAGATGGAAGTCACCACTTTTGTGTGGCATCAATGTACAATTCAAATTGTTGTAATATTGTGAAAATTCTTGGAGTGTGAAATATATGCTGTAAAAATTTACATTAGACCAATTTTAATTTAAAATGAAATAATTGTTAGTTAACAGTTTAATAATATGTCGTGTACCTACAAAGTGTGATACCTAATCGCATTTAAATAATGAAATTTAACCAGTTAATAAGTGAAAATTAAATAGTTTGTCAAATGTAAAATAATTTACATAATATAATATTGTATAGATGTAATGTGTACAAATTATGAGCTCTAAGTCAGGGTTTTGGTGTTCATGAGTACATTTCATATAATTCAATGACTTTAATAACTTACTGAAATGCCTGGGCGTATGGATTGTTATCCCGAAACAGTTGGTCTAGGTCTGCAAGCACTTGCTCCAATAAACGGCCTGGATTCTGTTGCAAGCGAGCCCGGTTTGCTTGCTCAGAACTCACGAAATACAATTCACAGTATCTCCTGTCTACATTTGGGGCGACTTCATTGTTAGTCCTGTGATACACTTGTCCTTGAGCATAGAATACCCTAGGTCCACGACCTGGCAAACGCCTGGGGTTAAAGTCACTGGAGAACGCAGCGAATGCCAAACTGTTGTTGTACGTTCGAATCTCAGCTCTAAAGCTCCTGGCTTCCCTTGAATCTGAAGTCAACAAATTCATTAGTAACACAGGTGCGGGTTGCAACACCCGCTCTCCTGTTACGGTCACGAGACCGCTATTACAACATGTATAGAAACCACCCTGTCTGGTACTTTCGATGGCGAAGTGACGGGCACCCCAATCTCTACAGACTGCATTCAACGCCCCAATGTAATGCTTTTCCGGGAGCGGATGTTGGACGCCAGCCGGACGATCTATCATTGGTGCACGCCCTCTAGGCTGTTCGACCGGAACACCTAGGGGAATTGGTTCGAACTGCAATTGAAATTACAAAATTGTAACAAACATAGATATAGGCAATAGGAAGAAATATTCACTGACCTCTTCATCAACGCCTTGGGGTAAAATGTCGATTTCAAGTTGCATCCCGCCATTGTTGTCCACCATCTCTTCTCGGCCTGGTACTATCACGGCGTCGTCCATTAGGACTTCGTCCATCCGAACTTCGATAAATTCTAAGTTGTCGTTGTTGACTTGGTCCATCTGGACGACTTCCTCGTCGATGTCTTCCATGTGTACCACGACGATTTCTGCGCCACCGTTTGGATCGGCATTGTAAATTTCTGCGTGAACTTGTAGTTCACGGTCAGGTACCGGTTGCGCCCCGACCACCTATACAATAATTTTAATTAGTTTAATGTGCAAGTTTATTTTTCTATTTATTTCCACTGAAAAATGTTATAGTTTTATATAGGTCTTATTAAGTATTTACCTGCAATGACAAATTATAAAAAGAATTTTATATTTAAAAAAAAAAAAACATACGGTTTGTAGTCTGTAAGTTGATATATTGCAAACTAATAGTCATCCATCTCAGTTATGCCTCTATATTAAAATGATATTGTATGTATACCTACTCTATTGAGTGTATTTCAATATTACAATTGACCAATAAATAATATTAGGAATATAAGAAGCACCGTTAAGGTTAGCGAATCATTTCTGTTCAACAAATTTGAATTTAAATAATAAGAAAATTGAGTATACTATAATCATAGTAGTACATAATAAGTTTTGTAACCATTGATGTAATGTATACAAATTATAAGTTAGGTATAAAAACAGTGCATTGAGTATAACTGTGAAATGTAACTATAGTATATAAAATAAAATAATCTTTACAATAAACAAAAAGAATGCAACATAATAATAATTTAAGAGTAATGTTTGGTTTTATAGAAGGATGTGTCGTAGTGGTATTGTATAAAGACTGTATCTGTGTTATTGTTGTTAAGTGTAGTAAACATGAACCTACTATGTATAAATTAATAAACAGCAAACACAATAAGTAGAACATAGTTAAATTTGGAGTAAGGTCAGTATATTAAAGAATAGTGCTGTTTTGAAACATTACAATGATATGATAAATAATTGGTTAAAACAAAAATTTCCAATATGATAAGTCAGTAAGATTAAAATTATATTGTAGTCTCTTGAGTGTATGTCAATATTACAATTCATCCATAAAGAATATTAGGTACCCATGTAAAGAGCACAGTTGAGGTTAAGAAAACATTTTTATTCAGCAAATTTGAATTTAAATAATAAGTAAATTGAGTATGTAGGTAATGATAATAATATTAACAACGATATATAAAAAAATATAATAATAATTGAATTAATATTTGAATGACAGAACTATCAATACAATGATAATTCTAAAGTAAGGTGTATGTTAAAAGTGTATAGAATGTTGTGTGGCAGTGTTATTATTTTATTGTATAAAACTATGTCATTGAGCATAGGAAACACAGTGTAGTTTGGTTTAGTTGAGGTTTACGTGGGGAAGTACTGTACAATGTAGATAATAATTAAGATAACTTATATAGGCATTTAACTAATAAACTCACTATTGTTGGTACTGCTGTGCGGTTCAAACAACGGCGAACACCTCCTGGCGTGTAGTCAACGAAGGGATTAAAATGCCTCGAACAGAGCATAGAGCTGCGATTCACAACACGTCCATTGTTCTCCACGAATCGCACCCACAAACGTTGACGTATGGGGTCCACTGGGAACCTAAAAAATATGTAGCAGTGTAGTAATGGTATGTAAATATGTAGGTGCCCGTGTAGTGAAATTGTAATTACTTGTGTACTGAAACTCCAACAATGGCATCAACGTTTCCACATATCACACAGCGTTTGACCATTGTGTGACAGCCTGTAAATAGTCGTCTTAATATATTGAAATAAAAAAAATAATAATAAAGTAATTCGTAAAATGTATGCAAATAGAATAAATATTAAATATTAATAAATATTTTCTCACGGTATTATCAAAATCACGATCTTATCAGTGGATGTGATACCGCGATTGTTATTGAGTGTTATTGTAAGAAATACGTTGTTAATATTGGTTTAAATTTGAAACATAATGGGAATATATGCATAAAAAATCATTGCTAAATGTGAACTTATCGTTAAGGTTTATGTAGCTATATTTTACGTAAAAATGTTAAAGCCATTAACATAATATAATGTTTTCGTCATCCGTATTTTGTAGCAGGAAGGTGTACGATAGCTGCGCGCCGTTGTTGTTCGAGAAGGTTCGATATCCGCAAAGGCAATAGAACAGATGCATTTGTTAGCGGGAATTCGCGATGAGTCATACAGACGCTACGATGAAAATACGTGTATATAGACTTTTGAACGATAGAGTATATAATATAATCTACCATAAACGGCGTATAAAGATAATATGATGGAGTTTGAGAAATCGGTAAACATTGGCACGTAAAACAGTTTTTTGAAAGCCATTGAATGTAATCGAATCAAAAACTAATGCCAAACCAAATAGTTTGTTTACACACGTCGGGTACATGTCAAATGTACGTATAAAAAACTTGTACTCACCGGTCGTCTCCGAAGTGTCCTGGAAAAATGTGTCTGAAAATAAACTGGATAGAGATGAAAACGAAATAAGAAGTGAAGTAAAAAAAAGAACAAATTGTTAAATGACTGGGAAATGTGCAAAAAAAATGAAAAAAAAGAAAAAAAAAAGTAGCGATCAACTGTCTTGCACGGATGTTGGAACGCTACGTGCCGTCGATGTCGTTCAACGGCTCGGTCGTCGCCTCGTACACCCTCCCACCCCACTACTCCACCGCACGCCAACCAAAGAGTATTATCGTATATACCGTAAACATGTTGACTGACGTCTAACCGTGGTATCAGTCATAACCAGGTTGTTATATCCGCCCGCTACGAAATATATCATGCCATGAAAAAGCTCAAAGCGGTTTGTAGTTTGTACTTTGTTTTACGCCAACTGTCCTGCCGTTCCGGTCTACACACGTGAGTATACAATGTTTAATTTTATTTGCCAATTTTTATGTATATACGTTAGGATGCCACTTAAATTTTTTTTTTTTTCATTTCTTATACCTTACTATCAGGTTATATTTACCATAAAAACTATTTCGATGAAGTTTTAGAATCCTGAGTCAAGTTTTACTGGTCGATTAATGAATTTTAAAAATATTTGAATAGTAATAAATGTATAAATATTGAAAATTAATAATTAATTATTTTCCGTCAACTCTTTACATAAATGTGAATATTTTTAATATAAACAAAAAAATATTAGGCATTTAGAGATTTTTAAGTGTTTTTGTGTTTGGGTCAGGATACTGTTGACGATGTTTTTCAACTACTTGCAGTAAAAACTGTTTTTGCTCTTGATTGGTCAAAACTGAATTAAAAGATGAAATTAAAGACACTCCTCGCTCTGCTATGTCATTGACAACTTTTAATGACCCCACTGTTTTCTTTCCACTTAGAAATTCTTTATTAGTTTCCCATGAATCTAGGACGTTTCCCCCCCCCCTTGCCTTTCCACCCCTGATTCAATGAACTCCCCCCCCCCGAACGGGACGATTTCCCCCCTGGACAAAAAAATAGAAATATTAAACAATAATAATATACAATGCAAATAAATAAATATACAAATGATTAAATTAATACATACATATAATTGTATAAATGTAAATAAATGTACTGTTTCCAAAAATTAAATAATACAAATCAAAATAATCCAACTATAGTCTATAATATATTTTATTCGGTAGTCGGGAAAAAATCCCACGGAAAAAAGCCCAGAAATAGAAATAGAAATGTGAACACATGTATACTCCACTCCTAATGACCTAATTAGTAATTACTAATTACCATATACCTATAACAAAATATAATTATATATTATTTAAATATGAACACAATATTATGTATACGTCATGATTTATTGTGTTATAAGTTATGAGTCAAAAAACATTAGTCTCTTATGTATATGCTTAGTACAATAATTTATAAATAAAAAAACGTAAACCTTATACTAAAATGTATACAAAAATTACAAAACCGGAGGTAATTTAATATATTTAGAGAGCAGATAATATACATAAACGTCCGTCAATATATATATATAATATATACTCCTAATTAAAAATTCAAAAATATGTACGTATATATTATAATATGTATTTAATTTTTAATATAACTAATTACCATGTATCTATAAGCTATGACAAAATATAATAATATATTATATATTATAATGAAAATAATAATTAATTGTTAATTGTATAGAATATAGTGTGTAAATCTAACAAAAATATAAATATTAACACAACATATTACATATATTAAACATAAGTCTTAGTAATTGTTAATTGTATAAGAGGCCAATATAGGCCAATAAAAAGAAAATCTTAAAATTTCAAATATAAATAATTATATGTCTGAATATGAACTTTGTTCTATTGAAAATATTATAAGATCTTATTTTTCGTACCTATCTCAAGATTATAGTTTATAAAGGGGGTTTGATACTGCCATGAACCACTGATGAAAAACCTGTCAATAAATTGCATTTTTATTACCCAACTATCGATAAGCCTTTTGACATTTAATTTATATTGTTCGGTACTTACCAATATAATTTATATTTATATTTCTTTTTTTCCTTGGGCTTTTTTTCCGCGATTCATTTTATTCTGGTAAGATATGTAGCTCACGGAATATAATAACTTCTTATAATTATTAATTTCACATACTTGTATACATATAACTTTAATACTGTTATCGATTGTAATACTTCCTTGACAACTATTTTCATTATTTTTAGATTTTTTTATACAATTGCAACGTATCCCCAATTTAACACGTTTTTGTTTAACATATTATACAACATTTTGAAATATAATTTTTTAACCACCTATTTTTGTTTCAATTATTTCTATTATATCCATTATAAAATGCACAAGAACGAACTGTTTAAGCACAATGTTACGAACTATACTAACTACTAAGAGACATAGAAGCAAAAAATGTTGTTAATAGTTTAGATAGTTTGAGGTAGGTGTATCAATCATTATCCATTAAATTGGGTACTAAATAAATAACGTGAATGATGATAATCGATAGATGCCGATATGATATTATGATATTATATTATGATGATCGTATATTTCGGGTAAATCCAAAGAACCTATTTTCAAACCTATTGGCTATTATTATGTGTAAAAAAAAATGTATATTGAGTCGGGGGGGAAACGTCCAGTACCGTTAAGATTCCCGGGGGGAGGGGGGAAACGTCCATGTACCGTTTCCCATGTGCTTGGATTAGTTCGTAAAAAGTTTGTTTACATTGTGTAAATGTAAATTAGTTGTTCATTTTTTTCAGAATGAATAGCCACAAGTTCTGTATTGAAAATTGCCCGGGTGTGCAGGTGAATTATTACGGTAATAATTCACCTGCCAACCAAACCTCATCAAAAATGCCCGTTCGCCGTAAGTTTATCAAAAGTTAAAAAACTTTGTCAACATTTTAATAGGCTACGTTAATTTTGAATACACTAATTTCTAAATATATCGGTTTCCGGTTGCCTTAACTGCAACGGCTACGGGCATATCGCCCGAAAATGTGAGTATTTTGAATTGAAGATTATATATATGACAATATAACATACATTTTCATGATATTGCATGTGCTTTTATATTTAATGTTATTATTTGTATTACAGGCACCAAACCCAAAGGGCCCAGGGCTAAAAAGCCGAAAGCCCCGGCTAGGACGACGGCCGCGGCTAGGACGACGGCCCCGGCGAGCACGACGGCCCCGGCCAGGAGGACGGCACCGGCAGAAGGCGGCACTACGAAGACGACAACGGCCCCGCCGCCAACAGTTATAACGACGACAACGGACACAGCGCCGACGGTGATACACCGTAGATACTGTAAGGAATATTATTATTATTATTACTTGTTTTAAAATATTGTAATAATAATTGTGTTTTTGTTTCAGCTTTTTAAAATACCTAGACCAAATGGCAAATACCAATCAATTGTCATAATATGACATATTTTTTTTTTTATTTTTTTTTTCATTTTTTAAATCTTCAATAATTATTATATTATATCAACATTAACTACATACATATATACTACATACAATATATAATATCTAATATTGTTATACACTGTCGTTAAATGTTTTCAATTATTTTTTGTATAAAATAGGTACGCAGGTACCTATATATTATTATTAGTGTTGTTGAAAGTTTTATAAATACATTTTATGAAGAATAAACTTTGTTTATTTTACTGTTTTGTTTATCTAATTATCTCTTTCTATTGTTGAGGTGGTATCGGTCTGTAAATGTTCTGAACAAAAACTACTATATAAACACATAAACATTTTATATACAGGTAATATGTAATTGTAAAGAAAAACGATCGTAAATTGAAAAAAATGTTTATCGACGTAAAGAAATCTGTGTAACAACGAAATTTGTTAGAAAAAAGTTAACTATAGTTAGTTTTTTTTTCTATAAATATCAATAAAGTTTTATCCGTTGGGCCAAAAAGTGTAAAAATTTAATACAAGGCTCCTGATTTATTGTTTCAATAGCAATTGAAAAATATCAAAAATCCATAGGCACAATTTTTTTTTATAATCATTTAAAGATTTGTAACTAACTGTACAGCAGAGCGACATCCATTTGCCCGCCTTTTTTTATATACAGACATGTAATTAGTAAATTTAAAAAAATGTTTATCTACGTAAAGAAATCTGTGTATCATAAATAACAATGAAATTTGGTAGAATAATTTAAAAAAAAGTTAACTATACATGCACATAAGGTAAATATAT